GCTGTGACTATAGTCTCACCTAAATATATTTGTCTTCTCTTTCAGGGTCTGCCAATAACGCACCCATAACTCTCGCAGAGTTGTGCACGTTATATTGTAGGAGGTTTAGTGTGTCCCTCATTGTTGCGTGGGGGCTGGGGTCTGCGTGTAGTCCATTAGGTCCTCCTGCAGCTGAGACCCAGGTTGTGAGCTCTGTGGTGCTATAAAGGCACTTAGAGCTCCTCTCTGGGCTTCGCCTGCTTGCAGAATCCCCTTGGGTCGGCCTGGTCCTCTTCTTTGGCCCTCTGGTTCCCCAGTGGGTAACCTTTTATTTCCTCTGGTTTGCACCACCTGCCACCCATCTTGTGCTTTTGGCTCCATAAACCTACGGGGTCTTTCCATGTATGCTGTACGGGCCCTGCTTGATGCCCTCTCCCTCTCAGGGCACTTAGAGACCCAGGCTGGGTGTGTTCCCCTACAATTTGCGCACCTCGGTTGTTCCCCAGCTTTTCGTGCTGGGCATTCCTTGTCGTCATGTTCTTTTGCCGCGCAGAACCCGCACCTTTTGGCCTGCCTGCAGAATCTGGCCGTATGCCCATACTCATGGCAGTTAAAGCACCGGGTGACCTGCGCTTCCCGGTGGAAGATATCAACGTCACAAAATATGCTGTCTATTATCAATCCATTGTCTACTAGTAGGTTGGCTTGCTGAGGCGAGGTGACGCTGAGTACAAGAGACCCAACCTTTGCCTGCAAGCTGGCATTCCGTCGTAGAGACAGTCTCTCAATTTGTACCCCTCTTCGGAGTCCTTCATTCTGTGCTTAAATTGCCTTGATGGCTTGCTGTTCCTCCTTCCAGTTGGTGTTGCCCATTGGGACTCCCTTAACCATGACTGGGTACAGGGTGTGCTTTGCCTTCGCCTTTTGTCCCAAGACTTCCAGCCATGTGCTGCTCTTAGTCAAGGCCTCCCTGGTCTCCCTCGCGTCGGTTGTCAGGATGATGTCTCCACTGGGGAGACATCTTGCTGCAAGCACCTTTCCCTTTGTCACATCCATAATTCTGGTGTTGACGGCTGCCACAATCGCTGGGGGGGTGGCCTCCTCAGCTGGGAGGGCTTCGCAGTCCCGGCGTAGGACAGTAATCTCGCGGAGGGTTCGGTTAGGCACTGGTTTTTCTGGAATTCCCTGTCCTGCGACCTTGGCCCATGATGACAGTTTGGCTTCTTTCACTCCTTCGGGTTGGCGTTGTGCGCGTGTCGCCACGGTCGCGTCTTCCACCTTGGCCAGCATCACCTCCCCCAGTTTGACCTTCAACTCCCTCACCAACCTGGCTGCCTCCTCCACTACCTCCTTCCCTTTGCCGTTGATGGCAGGATCTTCGCTCCCATTGCAAAGAACATTGCTCAACTGTGTCAATATTGCTCCACATGTGGTGGGCTGCTGCCTCTTGTCAGAGTTTTCTTCTCGCGGGCGTCCGTCAGCGCGTCCCACGATTTCCTCCATCACAACCATGGCACCAGCACCACCTCAACTGGGGATTGCTGGGTGTCGTGAGATTCCCTGCGATCAGGGCTATCGTTCGCTATCGTTTTCAGTGTATATAGATAAAAGTAAAGACCTTTTTCCTTTTAAAATTTCAATATGAATCCACCACAATGTTAA